TTGGGTTATTGCTTCCGCGAAAATAAAAGCCTGCCGGGCTTGACTCCTCGAACTTTCCGGAATCTGGATCGCTCCACCGAATGAATACTTGCAAACTGAAACTGAAAAAGAGAACGAAATCCCACTGGCAGGCCAAGCTGTTCATCCAAAACCCCCGAATCGCATGAGTTTTTGCGGACTTCGAGTCCAACAACGAATTACGCATCGTTCACGTTATGCTTGGGCTGAGGTGGATTGAGCGTTGAGAAGCTGGGTATAGAGAGAAGACATGGGAGCGGCTGGGTACGATGTGGTATATTCCGGGCGAACCGGACGCAGACGCGGTAGAGAAGACGCAGATCTAGACGCCGTAGAGGAGACGCAGTAAAGCAGACGCAGTAGAGCAGATGCAGTAGAGCAGTGCGAAAGGGTGCAGGTAGGAAAGTAAAACTTTTACGGGCAGTAGATTGAAACTGTCGGGCGATGGCGATGGTTCCCGTAGGGTATAAGCAGACAAGGATAAGTATAGGGTGGCCAACGGCATCGATCGATGGGATGGGGTACAGGATATGGGATGCGGGACAGCGTTGGCGTGGAGTATAGGGCAGACGCAGGGGATGTGTGGATTATCGAACTTGAAAGACCTTGAGGCTGTGCCGCAGGGAAAGGGGGATGAATATGGCGAAATGAGGACCGCGAGAGTCGAGACGCAGGACGGCGAGAGCTCAGAGGGAACGAGAAAGAACTGGTGAAGAGCCTGGCGAGACGAGACGAGACGAGACGAGACAGTCTTATCGATAACGACCGCTTGAAGGGCCCAGAATGAAACGAATAGAAGGCAGACGGTAGTGGGACCGGATATCTTGAGAGCTGTAGTTCAAATGCCCGGCGGGAGTCAACGACGTTGTGGCAAAACCAGAGATGGGTCAACAACGTGACCCGGTGATCGCGGCCCGCATGGCTAACTTCCTTTTTCGGACCACTCACCGCCACCACGTACCGTTTCCACCGACGCAAGGACAAGACCAGCATGGATACTTCTATCATCCTCGAGAGCTACATGGGAAGAGATACACGGAAGAACGAAGAACGAATACACGCCGGTGTCAGATCTCGCAATGGGAAAGGATGGGATGGGGAACGACGTGTGGTGCGTACGAGCCACCGCGGAGTCTTACTCCGCTGAACCCTGACCGCTAGTCGCAGGCCATCTCTTCGTTCTTTGATCATCTGCGTCAATAGCACTCAATGCGTATGAAGACTCGAAGGACCCTCGGCCTTTTCGTTCTGCGGCTGTGCACAAGAAGAGTCTCCACTCAGTCAAGCGGCTTGCATCTGCCGTGACGATATGGGTGCGGTACACTTCGTCGCCCGAGACGCCGCTCCATCTGGTCAGTGACTCGCCGACGCCGACGGATCGCCTGGAGTCGTCTATCGTACGATACTATGCAAATACAATGGAAGATATACCTTGGGCGCGGCCCCAGCCTTGAGCCCGCGCCATCTGTATTGCACCCCGCCCCCGAGCGCCGCGTTGAAGCCCCTCGGCGATTGTATACGGTAGTCGGGGCTTCTGGAGGCGCCGTCTTATCGAGGATCGCCGTCCGGCGCGTCCACGACTCTATCGCAAGGCCGTGCCTCAGAACGATGCGATACTGCGGTGTGCGTGTAGATGGTGGCGCGCCCTCGCCCTCCCTTCCCGTGTCTTGCCACCGCGCCCCGCCCGCCCGTGTCCCCACGCAGCTCTCGCTCACCATCAGCGCACCCCTGGCGGCGCACTTACCATCGTCGCAACACTGGCGGCACGCTTCAGCCTTCGTGGCATACCTACGCCCACCCGTGCTCTCCCCCCTCCCGCTCCCCGCTCCTCTTCTCTCTTCCCTCCCTCCCAAAGCCTGCGACGGCGCGCGCGGGGCGGGGGTGTGCGTATGCGTATCGAGCATGCGACGGTGCACGGGTGTCGTGTGCGGACAGTGGCGGATACGGATACGGGATACGGGAGTGAGGCGCACGCAGCCCCTGCGGCGGATGTGCGGCGGACGGATGGAGCGCGCGCTCGTCATCTCAGACGTGATGCTGATGCTGAATCTTCCGCGCGCGCGCATCCCCCGCGCGCTCCAGCGCTCGTGCTGCCCGCCCACGTCCCTCGCCCCTTGCCCTTCGCCCCTCGTCCTACCCTCCACCGACGTCCGGCGACATTCCCCTCAAGTACCGCCGCTCGCTTGTCGATTGGGGTGTGCGCGGGAATTCGGGCGTCGCTCGTACGACACTATCATACCTTGCGTTCCCTCACGCCGACACCTCCATTCTTCATTTGGATCTCAAGCACGAGAGACGAGCGTGCGTGGCCACGCACGCGGCGCCGGTCCGGTAGCGCTCGTCCATCCGCGTGCGGGGGGGCGGGGGGCGGGGTTTCGTGATCGCCTGCCCGCCCACGTCTCTCCACCGACGCTGCCGACGCATTTCTGGCGCTCGGACCTGCGGGGAGGGACGTACGGCGGGATCGCTTATCATGGTATATCCTTTTGTAAAAGAAAATGGGGGTTGCGCTGACGTCGGGTGTATCGTAGGTATCGCGGGCGGGCGGCGTGAGATGGCTGGCGCACACGGGGGATAGCGAGGATGCGTCCTTGGCTCGTGTGGGCATTCGCGCGGGGACGTATCGTGCTCCCGAAGCTTTCGAAGGCTGCGCCAAGGAAAGAAACATGCTATCTATTAGGTGTCGGGTTCCGTGCCCGTGCGCGGCGGCTTCCACGCCCTTTGCCCTTGATGCCCGTCCGTACGGCGGGGTCATGGCCCGCGATGGGTGCAAAGTTCTGGATCTCTTTCCGATCGCCGTTTCGAGGAAGGACTCGGGTCCTATTATAGATGCACACGGACGATATGACAATTTTTAACACAATCCATACACGATACCGGATACTCGATAGCTGGATGTTTCTTGTGTGCTTCGTCTATCTGTTTATTCGGATTCGTTCGTCATTCAAGGAGGGAAATTCCGGTTGAACGGGGAGCTTTCGACTTTTGCCCACCGCCATCTGTTTAGGCTTTTAGCCTATGCAACCTCACAAGAACCTATAGAGCGACTCGGTGGTGAATGGCCTTCACGTCCGCAAAACATTTCCGATAATGTACATTACTTTGCGGAATCGCCTGTTCGACTCAGGCTCGAGTCATGGAATGTTCTCGTGACACGTACGACCCTTTTTACTATTAGTAGTATGTACAGCGGTTTCTCTTTTTCCCCGCCTGTCACTTTTCTCAACGTTCCTAATCCCAGGAGGTGGCTTTATATCTCGGTGGCCTTTCTCTTTCCTCGTGCGTCTACAAAGCCTCACAAGTACTCAAACAGCGACTCGGTGGTGAGCGATTCACGTCCGCAAGATATTTGTGTCCACCATATGGCCATCCATTCGCATCACTTCGCGGAAGTTGCCTGTTCGACCCCAGGCCCGAGCGGTTCTTCGTTTGAAAGAAAATATTTTTCAACTGCGGTACGGCAGTGAAAAGGACTCGGAGTCCTTTTCACTGCCGTACCTTGTTTCTGCCTTTCTACTCTATTTAGTCTTAGGTGAATGTCGCGCGAGTCGAAATTCCGACAAGCTTCCCCCTACCTCTCAACTTCAGCACATATGTAAATAACCTCACACCCATCGACACACCGACTCGGTAGTGATCGTTTACATTCAGATATTGATCCACACTCCTACTTCTCCGTTATGTAAAGTACCTGTTCAACTCAGGCCCGAGTCATCTTCGTCTTCAAGGCAATCTCACTTACTTTAATGTAATTTTTGTGGCGCGGTATTCTACCCGCCACGATATGTGTGTCTAATTCACCCGTCCCTTATTTTTTCTCCAGTCTCGCGGCTCATCGAATGAGGGTGAAGTTTCTCCAGGCCGTCTCTATGGTCAACGGTACACATCCGCACATATTTGTCGGAATCCATAGTTTGCGGAAGGCTGCCTGGACGATTCAGGCCTGAGGCCATGGCTATACGACGGACGCAGCAGCGAAGATTTTTCTGCAGCGAGGTGTCTCATTTGCCACTTGCTTTTCGCGCCTATCGAATTATCCAGCTTGAACACGCGACTTTCTGTCCATGAAACGGATTGAATGATCTTGAATCAAACTGTCCGTCGACTTCCCTTGCCGGCCACCTTTCAACTTCGCCATCTACACAACCTCACAACTATCGACATACCGACTCGGTAGTGAAGCGTTCACATCCGTACATATTTGAGCGGTCGCGTCACCGTGATGAAATTCCGTCGCGGAAGTTGCCTGTTCGATTCAGGCCCGAGTCATGATGAACACGCTCGAAGATATATTTTCTGGCCCGAGGTTCTCTTCCCACTCATTATCAAGTTCACCATCCAGCGACTTAGATCCACACAGTCTCTCAGCTACCGACTCGGTGCTGAACGGTTCCCATCCGCAGATAATTATTGTCCTCTCGCTCACTATATGCTTTGCGGAAGGTGCCTGTTCGATTCGGGCCCCAGTCCTGCTGATTCTTCGACGCATCTTTTGCTTTGTTGCGAGGTCCCATGCGCGATAATGCCTGGTTTGTCCATGGCTTTTGCTACCTTGCCTGCCTGAGTGTACATTTATCCCCCGGAGTTAAAATTTTTGGTGGGCTATCCCGCTACCTTCGAACTCCACCACTTAGATATGCACACAACCTCACAGATACAGTATCCAACCTACCGACTCGGTGGTGAACGGTTCATATCCGTAGACGTTGGTCCCTGGCGGCTAAAGTATGTTCCTCTGCGGAAGCTGCCTGTTCGACTCAGGCCCGAGTCGTAGGCGTTGAGCGATATTTTCTTTTTCAGCTGTGAGGTCCCTGACAGCCTCGATCCGGACCTTGTTCTAGATCTTCCCTAGATAGAGTTCAGTTCTGTCTATTCGGCGTCGTCAGGTAAAATCGATTTGCACCTGGCCGGCCGCCCAACATTGAACGTCCTTATGACGCAACCTCAAGCAAAACGGCAAGCTTCAAGACGACCCACGTATCGACTCGGTGGTGGATGGTTCACATCCGCGGAGCTTGAGCGGCATGATGTTAAACTTCCTCTGCGGGCGGACGGTTGCCTGTTCGACCCAGGCCCGAGTCATCCGGCGGAAAGTGCTGATCTTTTTTGTCTCCGTCTCTGGTATTGTTGTTCAATCTCCACTTATTCGGTATTGGTATTCGGCGGCGAGCTTTACGTGGTCCGAAAGAAAAAGCGAAGGAAACAAAATTCTAGCGCCGCTCGAGTTTTCGGCTGTGCGCGTTCCTTTGAGGAGCGGGCTCTGAGCAAACGATGTCATGCCGATGAAATAAATGGAGGGGTAGAGGGATAGCATTCGATCTGTATACTCGGGAGATGGAGTTGGAACAATCTACGTCGCACAGACCATTTACTTGATTTTGTGGGCCAAGCGCGTTCCCAGCAGAGATTTTCCCCCAGCAATTCGGAGACTGGAAGACGGTGGGCATGTACGAATTAAGCCATCACCACGAGTTGCTTTTGTTTTTGGGGCGATGCCTGGATAAGTAGGGATACAGGACAACGGATGGCGTTGGACGTCGGAAGTAGGGCGTAGGGTGTGCAGGGACTATCGAGGACGATGCGACAAGGACGACTGGGAGATGCAGACGCAGACTCAAAGAGCGTGAGGAGAAAAGAATGGGAAAGAGGAAGAGTATGGCTGGAGGTGCGAGCCCGGAATCCCGAATCTCAATCGATCTGTGGAAGGGCTAGAATTTACGGAAAGATAACGAAACCAGAAAAAACAGCACAGTACGGAAACGGGCGAGCGCGGCCGTGGGGCGAGGACTGCAGATGGCCACGCACAGAAGTTGGAGAAGAAAGCTCAGAGAAGAGAGGCAGTTTGGTGTTGGTTTGGTGGGTCACCGTGGCAGTCTTGAGGAAGTGAACGAAAAAGAACGGCGATGGCGAAGAGCGTATCTGCTTGTAGCAGAAACCGAGAATGAAGATAGTCGGAAAGACCAATTGTAATCGCCTCACGGGTCCTGGGAGCGAGCGCGCCAGACTGAAGATGAGAGCAAGATGAGCGTGGTGTTTGCTGGTGCTTGGCACCGGATGCTCGGGCCGGTGATACCCGATGCTCTTGGCGTCTCACTCTCTTCGCTCTCTCTTTCACTCTCTCGCGCCGTTTTCCACCAAGACGATCGTAACGAATCTAACTAAGATTCTTTGGATGAGGACACCGTATAGATACAGGATTCAGAAGCGCGAAGAACCAGTGGAGAGCTGAGGACGGCGAAGACGGCCCATGCCAATGACGACGCCCCCTAGGACCGTCTGAGATAAGGCCAGCGCTAGGGAATGAAGGGAGGCGAAAGGACAAGCGGGGCAGAGTGGTACATGAACGGTACGCTGCATCCATTGAGTCCTATATTGATGCCCACTGTTCACAGATTTTTCGTTCTTTCGATCCTCGTTGTAAGGGCGCGCCGTACCAGCCTCCTGAAGAACAAGGAAGTGGATTAGATTGAATCTATTGTACACTGCAATCGTACGTGCGCCTCTCGATTCTGCCTCGACACATCATTCACAATTTACCATTCACAGTATCGTATCCCTGCGTCCGACTCCTGGGCTCTGCGTTGACCGGCGTACACAGCGTATCTAGCGTATCTCGTTCCCGCATCGGTGCCAGCCCGAACGCCGTGCCGAGATGTCGGACGCACACCCGCCCCGCCTCGTGGCTCGGTATCGTGTACACGCGACGCCGCTGAAGCCCCCACAATGATAGGCTGAAGCCGCGTCTCCCACGACGCCCGCATGCGCATGTGCGCCCGTCGCCATCCCGCCCGGGTGCGCGACGCATCGGGCCTCGCATCGAAAGCATCGAAAATACCAAGCTCAGGGCCCGGGCGACGCGCGTCCCTGCTCAGCGAATCCCGTCTGCCGCGTCTTCGCCCCCGCCGTCGTTGTCCCTGCCGCTTGCGCTCCTCGTCATCACGCCTGCGCTGCTCTTGCCCCCCACGCCGCCCGCCACGAGCGGTGTACCACTCGCAATGGGAGGACATCCAGCTTCGCCCATATGGTATTCGGTGCGTTCGTGGGGATCAAGACAACGTCCGCCCCAACGCCCCGCCCGGCCGGATTCAGCATCCAGCAGGTCCCATTCCCTGTGCCCGGACGTCGCTACCGAAGGCCGCACAGGAAGGATCGTTTCGGCGCGATCGAGGCGATCGCGCGCCCCATCGCGCCCCTTATGCTGCCCACGTCACGGTGTACTCCCCCCGCCCAAAGCCGCGCCTTCGCCCCTCCCTTACGTGTGCGCGCGCGCGTGCTCCCCTGTCGACGTCGATAGCCCCGTCTCCCCCGCCTGCACTCCCGCTGCATCGCACCCGGTTTCGCCCGCGCGGTGCCCAGGCTCCCCCGGCTGTAGATATCCGACGCACGCCGCACGACGCACCCGAAGCCCGCACCGGATCGGCGCAAATCGATTAGCGAATCGTGGCGCGCGCGCGCTCCCTGCACGTAATACATGGACGCGCGCTTGCTTGCTCTCGTATCGCGCCCTTTGCGGCTGACGTGTACGCGCGCTACTGGCCGCCCCTTCCGCCTACGACGCAGCCGTCATCTCGAAGTGGCGTTTCGGACGGGGCGGTGGGGTTTTGGGTCGCGAGGGCGGGATGTGGGACGAGGAGAGGGAGAAGGTATTAGAGGGATGAGAGACGAGAGATGAGTGGAGAGAGACGAGTAAGAGGGTGAGGGTGAGGGACGGGGGAGAGTGGAATGCATGGGATACAGCGGATATGTGGGAGTCGGCCGCCCACACTCCGCGTCGAAAGTGCACTGCGATGAATGCCGCGCACCATCCTGACATCGCGCTCATCCCCGCTCGCCGCTCCTCCCTCCCCGCCCACGGCATGCACGCTACTACAGTCTGCACCTCACGCTTGACGAGCGGTGTTTACTTCTCACCCTGCGCGCGCCCCCACCCTGCCCCGCCTTCGCGCTCCCGAGCCGCGTACTGAGATGGTCGCGGGATCCTCCTGTGTACTTAACGCTGCGCCATCCCCGCGCGCTACTGCAAGTCTGCACCGACTCGAGCAGCCTCTCTCCGGACTCGTCTCGTCATCAACGCGCCGCCGCCCAAGTGCACGGCGGATATACTCATTTACGCCACTCCGCTGCATGGGCACGTGAGGCGCCCTTGCCCGCGCCCCGAGGTGTCGCATGGACGTCGCCGGTCGGCGCCTTTTTTCCAATCGTCCCTCCTGCAGAAGGGGCCCTGGAAGGGGCGCGGGGAAGGTGGAAGGAGAACGGGGGAACGGGGGAATGAGAACGCGGGGACGACGACGAGGGTGGGGAACGAGGCTAGGAAGGAGACTAGCGATGGACGGGGAAGGGGAAAGGAGGGGACGGGGGACGGGGAACGGGGAAGAGGCTGGCGGTGGCCCGTACCGATACGCGCCTACTGCGTGAGGGCATCAAGCACCAGCATTTGCTGCTCCCGCCGAGATCACCCCCATCCTCCAGGCGCACCGTCGCGCCCCTACCGTCGCGCTCGCTCTGGTGCTTCCATGCACGCTCCCGAGGTCCGTCTTGATACGGACGGCGGTCCGACGTTCTCGGGGAGGGATCCGTCTTTCCTAGTGCCGATACCTTGGACAGATACCCCAGGCGTGTAATGCGCCTGCAGTCCGCTTCTACGCACAAGGGAAATATGAGCTCGAGGGGATTAATCCATCCATACTCAATACGTTTAGACTGATACCTCAATATGTGATACCTCGATACCTCGACACGCTCGATAAGTCGATACGATGCGCGATACTGGATACTGGATGTACCCCGCCCTCTCCTTGTTTACTAAACGTAGATGGTCCCTTGGAATTTCTGGTTCGTCTGTCTCTCAACTTCACTCGTCACCAGGGGAGGGAATTTCGGTTGGACGGGGACCATTTAAGTTCGCCATCTTCTCAGGCTACCTCGGTGGTGGAGGGTTCGCGTCCACAAAATATTCGTGGAAAATCAACGCGTATGCCTGTTCGACTCAGGCCCGAGTCATGAAGCGTGAGAACGCTGGGTTTTTTCCCCCTCTGCTGTGAGGTCCTACTCGCCAGGATACCTTATTATGCCCTTTCTACAACGCTCGTCTGTTTATCCAACCCCGAGGACGGAGTGCATCAGTGAAATCCGATAAGCTATCCGAGCTCCCTCATTCACAAAAGCCAAATAGCGACTCGGCGATGAACGGTTCACGTCTGCAATATTTGGATCGAGAAGTGCTGTTTAGCTTGTGGAAAAATGCCTGTTCGATTCGGGCCCGAGTCTTATGGTCGTAACAGAGGAGACTTTTTTGTTTTTTAACTCGAGGTCCTCTTCGCTGAGAGCCTTCCTTGACCTATCTGTTTATCCAACCGAGTGCGTGAGCGGAGGTTTTGAATCGGCCGTCCCATTAAATTTCAACTTCCTCGTCTACAAACATCGCTACCCAAGCAGCGACTCGATGATGAACGGTTCACATCCGCAATTATTGGCTGATGGTGAATTTAACTTACGGAAGCTACTCAGACCCGAACCGTATAATCAGCAGCAGGTTTTAAGCTTCAGAAACCTCGAGGACGCGTAGCGGAGTGGGCTACACTGCGAATTTAGTTTTCCGGTCAACAGTTGCACTTTCACAACCACCCGCATACCGACTCAGTGGTGAATGGTCCATGAGATTCGGGACGCTTGGACTCCCACTGCCTTTCAACTTCCCGATCTAACCAAGTTCACAACATCCCAGCTACTTACTCGCACTGGTAGCGACCCGGTGGTGAAGCGTTCACATCCACAGACATGGATCCACCAATACTTTCGACTCCTTCATTCATGCGACGTCACGGCCACCCATCCACCGACTCGGCGGGGAAGGCTTCACGTCCGCAGATATTGGACTTCCAAGCCACACAGGCTGACACAGCAATCACTTCGTGGAACTCGCCTGTTCGATTCAGGCACGAGTGGTCAAGCGCGAGAAAGCGAGTTTTTTTTAGAACCGCCTGGTCCTGTCCCCCTCGGTATACATTTCAGCCTCGAGGCGGGTCAGTTGAAATTTGGCAGATTTGGAGTGATTTGGCCAAGAAACGACCCCAAACCATTGC